TTTATATATAGATTAAAGAAATAAAAAATGATCAGAAACTTAGTTTCTTGATTTCCCTTCGGGCTTTTTTTTTTTTTTTTTTTTTTTAGATTTTTCCTGCTATACAAAAGTCTGCATAATTTTAAACAAACACGGTTGTCTGATTTCCTTTAGGAAAATAGATGCATAAAATATTGAACTTAAATTCTGAAAATAATTTGCTGGTTTATCTTATTAAAAGACAGACTATGTTTAGAGACTCTTTCAGCCTCAACTGAAACTTTTTGTTTTTAATTTGACCCATTTTTAGGCATAAGAACATTTGGGTCACAATTTCTTTAAAAACAATATGTTTGGGGGTTTAATAACTAAATAAAAGCTGATTCAGGTGCACAAGAGAAATAAAAAAAAAAAGCTTGGTTGCTGAAATTTCTATATTTAAAATTTTGTGTAATTTTTTTGCAAACAAAAAGAAAACTTGCAATCAAACCAATTGCAGAACATGATTTGGGTCACCATTTCTTTGAAAACTATATTTTTCCGGTTTAATAACAAAAAAAAAAAAAAAGCTGGAGAGATAAAGGATGTAAACAAATTTGCTTCCTTAAAAAAAAAAAAAAAAATGCAGGAGCCCTGCACTGAGTCTGAAAAGCAAACATCTGTTGAAGGTGTTAAAATGACCTACTTTAGTTTCCCCAGGCGTCTGGGCTGAGCTTTCTGAGCCTCCTGCTTGGCTTTGCGCTGCATCCGTTTGCTTTTGGTCTTTTCTTCCTGCTGTCTGATGGAGGCCTTGATGGAACGGAGCTGGAAGAGCTGCTGCTGCTGCTCCGTCTGCCTCCTGCTGTTCAGCCGCTGCTGCTCCTGGAGCAAAGCAGAAAAAAAAAAGAGGAGCAGGAGGATCAGCTGGGACCGAGCGGCTCACAGCTGTTTAACTTTTCAGATGAAGTTAGGCGAAGATTCAGGATTCATTTAAGGTCGCTGAAGTCAGAATGCAAACAGAAAAGTATTTAAACTAATCCAAGGAAAAGGGACACATAAATCACACAAAAACATGTTTTTTGTGAATAAAATCTAAGAACATAGAACTATGATAGATTCATAGCTACACTGCATCCAAAATAAAAGCTTTATGTGTACAGACTGCACTTTTTAGACAATCTACCTGCAAGATTTAGGCTAAAATCCTCATAGGCAAATTGTTCAATCAGAAATACATGAAAACTTTTGGCCTTTAAGATCAATTATTTCCTGTTCCTGTTGAGATTACTATTTTTGTTCTAGATCCCATGATTTAGAGCAACCTGTTCCCTGCGAGACCCTCTGCTGCATTCAGACTGAACGCATATTCAGCATCTTCTTTACATAGGTCTATGGAAAACAACAGGAGGTCCTGCAGTCTGTTTTTGATTGCCTGTTGCAGCATCTTAAGATTTAGATAATGTTGGAAAATTTGTTTGTTTTTTTTTGCAGCTCCAACCAATCTAAAAACTTGAGCTGGTTGGTAGAGAGACAGTGCATCAAAACCCTCTTTCCTGGTGAAAACCCAGGTTTTTCAAAACCAGGTTAACCTGCTAACAATCGGCTTTTGGTTCTTTTCCCATTTGACCAAAAATCAGACTCTGACCCCCTGCTGAAAAAATGCGTGGCCACTGCCCCCCCACTGCGTGTCTGATGACAGTATCAAGCTAGGTGAGCACTGGTGATGCTGACAGTGAGATGGAAATAAAGGAAGTAAATAATGGAGAGCAACATGGGCTTAAACAGTATTCTTTATTGTTTCGCTCTTTAATCTGTCCTGCACCATGTTTAACAAATGTAAACATTTGTTTGGGCTTGTTAGATCAGAAGCGACTGGGGCGGTATGTTGACGTCCGTATGTTGCGTTCAATAGTGTCATGTAATTTAGTGGGTCAACCCGACTCTGGTATTCACATAGCATGCAGTTTAGAGCCCAGGAAAATTTTATACGGGTTCCTTGCCAATTCGTTTGAGCTGGGTAGACGCACGTCAGTGAGCTGTTCCCACTAGCACTAAAAGCTGAAACACCGTTTTCGAGGTTTAAACACTGTGGGCGTTAAACCACAAAAAAAGAAACAAGAATATATAAAGGTGTTAGAGTCCAGCGGGTTTACAAAAAAAGCCAGTCTGAGGTGAATGACACATCACAAGTGCAGGGATCGACCATTTTGACTGCTTGGTTCTACGTTTTGCAAGAAACTTACTTTTTCTTCCTGAAAATTGAGATTATCTCAGGAAAGATCTGCACAAACTGCTGCGTTTGGAGTCACACATTTCAGGATTATAAACACTCAGGCTCAGATAAATGCATTAAACAGCCCGTTATAAAAATCTATCAATCGCTTGATGAACTTAAAACTCAAAGTGTAACGTTTGCGTGCTCGCTTGTTCTCCTTGCGTCTCCATTTCTTTCTACTAAAGAATAAGGATGAATTAACATTTCAGTCCAGAGTGTCTGTCTTTACTCGTCCCTCTCACCATCGTTCCCTTAGAACAATATGTGTTGGTTAAGCAGAGATGAACTTATTTTGAAGCTGAAAGCGCCTGTTGGGATATTTTGGATTCACACCTGATTTAATTATTGTTTAATTATCATTTCTGGGACAGTTTATCGTTATAACAGTGGACTGAAGCATTAATTAGTTTAATATACCTTTATCTTTTCCGCCTTTTCTTTCTTGATCTGTTTTTCTGTCTTCTTCTGAGACACAGCGATGGCCGCCAGCGCCGCTTCGTGGTCTTCCTTTGAACAAGATGCCTTTTCTTCATCATCTTCTTCCTCCTCCTCCTCCACCAAACCTTCCACTACCTCGTGAAAGTTTGTCTCCTAAACAAAAAACAACAAAAAATGAACATTAAAGATAAGAAACGCTGAAAGCTCGGTAGAGTAAAACCAGCCGCTGGGAAGATGAGGAGCAAACTTACCTCTGTAGCTTTGTCCTCTTTGTTGACAGCCAGCTGTCTCTCTAATTTCTCTTCCTGCTTCTTTTTCTGGACCTCCACCTCATGAGCTTCTTGGAGCAA